GTGTGTGTGTGCGCCTGTGTGTGTGTGTGTGTGTGTGTGTGCGCCTGTGTGTGTGTGTGTGTGTTTAGCCCCCCCAAAAATGATTAAGACACTTACCATAAATGAAAACGTTTAATAATGTTATGAGATGTCCTTTAATGTCATAGAAATAATCTATTTTCCAAATGTCCCAAATTCTCAAGAAAAATGCCTTTGAAACTCCAAATTTCTATTTAACCATTGTATAAAAATACACTCTCCCCCAAAAGAAGACACTTATTGTCGTTCCCAATGAAAACATATTCAACACCTTTTTTTTTCTCCAGATGAAACCTAAAAAGCACAAAAAGCATAATTGTAATCATCATCCTCCTAACCATCATCATCATCATGATCATGACCATGGTCCTCGAGAAGTCAGGGATAGTAAACATGGAAAACGTGCGAAATGGAGAGAACGATTTACGGACATACTGAATGGTAAGTGATTCAAATTTCATGTTCTAGCATGTCACAGATGCATAAGCTTATATCATGTCATCCTTCTTAGACCCTTTCTTTGGAATTTTGGACGGGGCTTTGGATGATGACGATGACGACGACGATGACCCAAGTGAATGGCTCTTTGACCTACAAGAGCCAGCGGGTGAGAAACACCGACCCGAAATGTTCTTCTTTCAGTCGTTCTTTCTTATGTGTCATGTGGTACATTTTTTTAAACCATATCTCCATGGGCTACTCCTTCCTTTTCCTATTTTTTCCTCAGGTCGATGTAACCCGAACCCTTGCCAAAATAATGGTGTCTGCAAGGAAAAAGGAAAGCACAAATTTAAATGCGACTGCCCAAAACATTTCAAGGGAAGACGCTGCGAGAGAGGTTAGAAAGCATTTGTTGCATACAGCAAATGTGGTTGGCAAGAAATAAGCAATAAAAACATGATCGATGTTCCAGGACCAAAGTTTTGCAAGAGAGGTCTCTGTGGCCGTGGTGAGTGCGTGGTGACTTCCACTCGACCTTTTTATGAGTGCAAATGCAAGCATCCCTTCCAGCCGCCACACTGTAGAACATGTAAGGAACCATTGCTCTATTCACTCACACCAATGGCCGAACTTGTAGAGGATTGTTTAATTCGAATACATAATGTTGACTGCTTTTTCTACAGACACTCTTTGTGAGCCGAATCCATGTAAGAATGGCGGAAGGTGCATCAAGGATGGAGATGACTTTGACTGCGAGTGTCCTTCGGGCTTCAGAGGTCGTTTCTGCCACGTTGGTAAGTGCCATAAAATGCGGTCATCACAAGCTGCTTCCACTAAACAAAATCAGAAAAATCTGAACTTTTTTCACACATTGGCTACACTTGTTCATAAATTGCACATCTGGAGTGCAAATCATAGCCCGACAGTGGTAGTTATGTGACACAGGGCCAGTCAACAATCTCAATGAAAGCTAAACTCCACTGATTCTAATTGTTTCTACAGAGCAGAGACAAGATATGTGCCTGCTAGTGCTGTTGTACGTTCTATTTGTATGTGTAACAGCCATGGGTGTGTTAAAGTAACAGCAGCTTGGAATGGCTGAAATTGCAATGTTAATTTCCGTTCGCCTTCTATGGCATTTCCTTTTGTATGGCAGCGAACTTAAGCTATTGATAATGGCATTGATGCTGTATTGAAAGTATTTACAATTAATCTTTATTGTTTAACTCTGAATGTTATGGTTCAAATAAGTGAAATGGGACTGTTTTGATTCTCAGGCCCAAATGACTGTTATGACGATGATGGTGAGTCATATCGTGGCACCGTGAGCGAGACAGTTAATGGCAACGAATGCCTCTATTGGAACTCTCACTTCATCCTGAAGAATGGAGTCGATCCTTTCAACTCATTTGAGGACAGTGATGGCCTTGGCCCTCACAACTTTTGCAGGTCAACTTTTTCTCAAAGGATGCTGTTGAAAACGTCTACTTACTGGGGAAAAAAAAGCAAGGTGCTAAGTGAGATGTTTTCTATGCCCCAGGAACCCAGACGGCGACTTGACGCCATGGTGTTTCTTCAGAAGAGGGCAAAAGCTGCTGTGGAACTACTGTGATGTAAACGAGTGTTCTGAAGGTACGTAGACTTCAGTTGTTTGCACAAGATTCAGTTTTAAGTGCACATAACACAAAAATAGTTGTTTTAATTGCGGAACTGTGAATTCCTCTGGGTGACACCAGAAGGAATGGACCCTCCACCTTCTCCAGCCGAACCAGATTCCCCAGCCTCCCCAGCTCCCCCAGACTCCCCAGCTCCTCCCCAGCCTCCTGCTCCAAAGCCCCAGCCAACAAGACCTGCCCCAGACCAAAAGCCCAGCCCGCCTCCGCAACCAAGTGACACCTCACCCACTCTCGCATCAACTCCAAAACTGTTCAACACTTGTGGGAAGCCTCAGCCAAAGAAAGTCATAACCCGAATTTTTGGAGGATTGAAGGTATCCCCAGGAGCATTACCTTGGCAGGTGTCGCTGCAAGTGAGACCTAAGAGATCCACCCGGCAGTTCCAGCACATCTGTGGAGGTGTTCTCATTGAAAGCTGCTGGATATTGACAGCTGGACACTGCATGTAAGAGCAATTTTGACAAGCACATATTTTTTTAAAACACTGTAAACATTCCAGATGTCATGTTTATGTGTTTGAACAGTGAGCGAGGAAATGACATGCAGGTGGTTATGGGAAGACTCTCCCTGGACACTGATGAACCCACTGAACAGATCATTAATGTTGAAGAAGCTATTGTGCATGAGAACTACAGGGAGACTCCAGTATCAGTTCACAATGACATCGGTGAGCACTTTGATGCGACCTGCTGTCTCTACCAAATTCCTTTGGTTTGCAGTTAACCCACACCTATTTACGGGTTTGTCTGCGGAACCTATGGTCAGCTATTCACATAAAAACATTATTTCTGTTATGTGTATTTGTGAAATTTCTGTGTATTTTGGAGCTGTGCAACATTAAGATGGTACAATGTACCTCTGAAACTCTGACTGATAGGAAAATAATAAGATAATTGATGTCAAGGGAGTATGTTGACGCAATAAAATACATCTCCATTTTTCAAAATATTTGTATGACGGGGTTAAGTTTAGCCAGGGTTGTTCCTGCATTTTTTCAAAAACAACCCGTGAGCGAGCCGTTTGTTTGACTTATATGTTCAGTTTGACATAACACTAGAGTTTTTTGGGCTCATAGTTTGTATGTTGCATGTAACCTAATAATGTACCACAACTGTATTTGTACAGCATTGCTGCGACTGGAAGGCACTGATGGTGTTTGTGCCAATGAGACCCAGTTTGTGAAGGCAGCCTGTCTGCCTGAAGAGGCACTAGATGATGGGGAGGAATGTACCATTTCTGGATGGGGTGCCACTGAGGAATGTAAGTCCAATTTTCTTCAAGTGAAATAATGAAACATATATTCCACTTACATTCCAATAATTGATGAGGTTAAACATTTGAATTTAAAATGATTGTACACTTTGAAGCTGACCCACTCTCTTGTTCTATTTCTATTTGCAGCCGACTATGGTTCCAACCATTTGCTGGAGGCTAATGTTCTGCTGATCAACCAAGCGAAATGCTCTGACAGCAACATTTATGGCACAGTTTTGGATAACACCATGTTTTGCGCTGGCCATCTAAAAGGAGGGATCGATTCCTGCCAGGTAAGTAAGGAGAAAATGAAAATCTAATACTCATACAGTGATTGACTCATTTAAATTGTTGGGCATGGCTGTGGCTTTACTGTTGAGGACACTTGTTGTTTCAGGGTGATTCTGGAGGGCCGCTGACCTGTGAGCAGAACAATACCCATGTTGTTTATGGTTTGGTGAGCTGGGGAGACCAATGTGGAAAGAAGAATAAGCCTGGGGTGTATGCACGGGTCTCTCACTTCCTGGACTGGATCAAATCAAAGACTCAAGCATCATCTTAATGAGGAGCATCTACTGTATTACTGCATCGAGTAGAACTTAGGGCCTGAACCTCATTCATTATGAGTCAGGTTTGGTGTTTGCAGTTGTCGTAGTTTGGACTGTGAATGTAATTATATATAACCCAGTCATGTACTTATAAGGATGACATCTTGAAGTGTTCTGCACATTTGGCAATGATGTGAAGCTTATAATGATGATGATAATGATGATGATGATGATGACCTACATAATAGCTTGGATTCATTATTGCCCGAGACACAGCTTTACTTGTTTGGTTTAATCGACTAAAAATGACTTATGGAGGTAATTTTACTCAAAAGGTTCAATTTGGCTGTGTTCACACACATATACATAAAAGATATATTTTATTAATCTATATGTGAACAAATGGGCACACAAGACCTCAATTTACAACTCAATAGGATGCCATTTCTCATTTTCTCTATCATCTATAAAGACACATGAAGATGCAGTGTCACACCTATATTGAGGCTTAATTAGGTAGATTTTTCATACAGGTCGCCCGTGCAAGGTACACTGACATGTGACACCGAAGGCACGAATGACCTCGGTGCTGTGCTGTGCTGAGGGTCATGTGGTGAAAAGAACAAGCAATGCATGAGTCATTAACTCTGTGAACTGTGTGACAGTAGTTTGTCCCAGAAATGAATGGATTAAATATTTACAGTGTAAAGTGGTGTCAGTTACTTTCTCTAATCATGTCAAATACCAAAATCAAACACGCAAACTTAATATTCATATTATACGAGACTAAACAATATCTAACGTCCAACATCCTTTTTGTACTGTAGTTTGACAAATGACAAAATCACTCGTCACCTCCATCTGTGCTGACGCTCCAATCCCAGGGATCCTTGATCCAAAACATGGTCAAGGGCTGTCCGTTCAGACCATTTACATCAATGCAGGGGTTAAACATTGGGAAAATTGGCTCTTTGCACTCCACGCAGAAAGAGTGAAGCAGACTCATGGTGTCTGCATTGTAGAACGACAGCTCCCCCTTGGGAAGATTTGCCAGTATGCCCAATTTTCTGACTTTCTTCCCAACTTGCAGTTGCTTCTCCTGGGTGTCATGGCACGCCATGTACTGTCCATCACCGTGGTAGATGCACCAGGAAGTCTTATTCACACCCACCCCAGAAGGCCTCAGACTCAGACCAACATCTCCAGTGACTGGACCAGTAGTCACACCGATCAGCCAATATGGTTTCTCCTGTACGATGACTTCCCAGTAGTGTCGGCCAGTAGTAAAACTCTTCTGAGCCAAGACGCTGTATTGGGAATCATATGGCTGAGTGATTGGAGCTCCACTGTCAGGTTGCACTCCCCAGCACACTTGTCTCCCATCCTGGGATACCTCCAGCTTTGGGTGGGCTGTTTTCAAGTCGAGAGCAGGACAACCTAGATCTGAAATGACAAATTAATATTCAGAACATAATAATTAGGAAAATAAGTTGATTTTAGAATTTTTAATCAAATCTTCATCTTTTCCTTTTGGCTTGTCCTATTTAGGGTCAGCGCAGTGTTCATCCTCTTCTTGAAGACTCTCATGGCTTCCCTCTGGGTCCACATCTATCAACCTTTCCTTAGGTCTTCTTAGCTCTCTCGCCTGGAAACTCCATCTTTGTCTTTCTTCTCACAATACACTCATAATATCTCCTCTAAATGTGTCCAAACCATCAAAGTTTGCCTTCAAAACACCTAACCTTGATTGTCTTTCTGATGAGCTCATTTCTAATCCTAACCAACCTGGTTGCTCCAAAAAAGAACTCCAACATTTTTTATTGCTCCCACAAAACCTCCCGTTGGTTTTTTCAGTGCCATTGAGCTGCACATCATGTCTGGTCTGACCATTGAAATGAAGTGAACACCTACACAGCGAAAAGTGGCATAATTTGGAGTTCAATCAAAAACTGAGAAAACGTATGCCTCAAAATTCAAACAAAATCCATCATGTGTGATGTCATGTGACTGCTGCGGATATGAAAGTATCTGGCTCCTCATTAGAATAAAACATATAGTCAAATTCAAATAAAATGTTTCATAGCAGCCCCATGGAGGAGAGGTAAGAATGTCTGCACGCACAGTTCTGAGATTCGGGGTGCCAATCTCAACTCTGGTCTTGCTGTGTAGTATTTACATCTTCACCCAGTGCTTGTGTCTGAGACCCTAATGACGATGAGCAGTAGAGAAGATGGATGAAAAGCATGGACAGCTTGCCCTCATTAGGGTCTTGTGTCAGCTGGAGCCAAGCCTGGCTGGATTTGGGTTGAGAGGCGGGGGTACACTCTGGACTGGTCACCAGCCAATCACAGGGCACATATAGACAAACAACTATTCACACCCACATTGACCTATGGACAATTTAGTCTTCAGATCACCTAACTTGCATGTTTTCAGAGGAACTTAAGATGCAGAGAGAAAACACACACACAGGACGGTGGAGAAATGCTAACCACTAGTTCATTGTTTTACCAAGAAAATGCCCATTGGACACAACGTTGCAGTACGTACTTGACAAAGCACCTACAGAGCACAAAATACATGAGAACAGATATTTTTAACTCCAACAAGAAAGTACAACTCTCCCAACACCTCCTGTACTCTCTCCATGCTGTGTCTGCCAGGCGTTTTCAAATTGTGAGTAGTTTTACTTTATTCTAGTTGTATTTAATTATTTTATACAGCGGATACATTTATATGGATATCGAAATAATATTGCCTCTGCAGTTCAAAAGATGATTCAAATATATTCATTAACATTATTGACTATGCGTAAAATATTTTGAAACATATAACCTGGAAGTCGATGTGTAGCATGTGTCAGACTTTGGACGTTCCGCTGGAAAAGATCATTTTACTTACAGGACCACATTCGAGGTAAGTGTTGCGACAGAGCCACCGACAGGTCATCCACCAGCTTCTCTACTGTTCTCATCTTGTCAGGTTCACACAGTTCTCTGTCTATTTGCTGAATGGGTGCCAAACTTGGAGGGTCACTTCAATCAAACAGAAACACAATCACACGTCAAAACAAATGTCCATCAATTATGACAATGAAAACATGAATGACAAATATACTAACCACAGATTCTGAGCGGTGATTTGCTGGAAAAAGAAAATAAAACTAGCTCATGTACTTGAAGTGTGACCATGACATTGGAGCAAAAGATGTTTCCACCTACCTGTATGAAGCTCAGGTCATGTGTTTCTTGTAAGAGTAGTTTACTGGAAACTCTGAGTTTGTCTATCTCCTTGATGCGAGCCTCCACGATTCCTCTCTGTGCTTCCAGCCACTCGCTCATGCATTCCTCTTCTGCATCAATGATCTGTGTCATCAGACGCTCGTCGCCATCCAGCACAACTCGGATCCTGTTGTACTTGTCTGAGATTCTCTCTCTGAAATCCGCTGCAGACATCTGAAAATGATTATTTTTTAATTATATGAAATGCTAAAATATCGATTCCAAAAATTATTTTACAATGACTGTACCACTGTTTGCGTATACATGAACTCCAAGTCCTTAATGGCATTCTCTGCTTCACATCTCATCTGCAGCAGTTGTTTCACAGTTCTCTCCAACACACTCTGAAACAGACATACGAGTCATTCTTTTGCATGGAATCCTGGCATAGAAACACGCGAGGCAAACCCATTATTTAATGACCTTTAAGTCTGTGCAGGCTTCATGTAACCGGGCTGCTTTGTGATTCTTGTGTGCACCAACCAGGACACACAAACAGCAAACAGGGACTCTCTCCTCCAAGCAAAAGAACTTCAGCTCATCACGGTGCTCCTTGCATTTTAAAGACAGCAGATCCTGTGTCACCTCCACCACGGTGTGCTCCCTCAGTGCAGATCTTTGCTGGTGCAACAATGCGTGGGCCTGGCACAAAGAGGCGTCACAGGTCAGGCAGGTCCTAATAGCTTCTGATGGCATCTCAATACAGTGGTCGCAGAGTATCACTGATGAAGATTTAGTTTCTGTCTGTAGCGCCGACGTTGATGATTTGATAATCAACTCATTCACTTTGCTTTGTAGGCTTGCATCTATCTCCAGGGTGATGTTGGATGGTAGCAGGATCTGACACTCTGGGCAGAAAAAAGGACCGTCTTCACAGACAGCCTGGATGCAGGTCAGACAAAAGTCATGTCTGCATGGGAGTTTGACAGGATCTGTGAAAAAATCCTGGCAGGCAGGACACTTCAGAGTTTCTTCGACAGTCCCCATAGTTCTACTTGGACCTGCTATGGTGGCTCAGCGAGAATGCCTGGTGCTGCATGTCCTGCTCATGAATGTTTCACAGGCCTCTTTCTGCATGCACAGCCAATCACGTGCATCAGTATCACCTTACAAAAGATGTCCTGATATTTTTCCGTTTCTTGGACTGGCTCACTCCAGGAAAACAAATGGATTTCTGTGGAGCAAAGCTTTAACATTGAACCAGCAAAACTTAAGTAATTTATAGATAGATAGATAGATAGATAGATAGATAGATAGATACATAGATAGATAGATAGAGACAGCCAGAAATATCTGTGTGTGTGTGTGTGTGTGTGTGTGTGTGTGTGTGTGTGTGTGTGTGTGTGTGTGTGTGTGTACATGCAGAAACATAATGTTCTAATGTATTACTGTATGTACAACTCATCCATCAATTTTCAGCAATCAAGTTACAGTACGTTTAATATATATTAAGCTTTCAACGTTGAAAAGTACACGTACACGTGCACACAATGCATTTACATGAATACCTCGGTGGTAATACCTAATAATTTGTGTTTTTGGCACACTTTATGTGATAAAATGCAGTTGCCGTTGTGTTTAGCTGTTAGATTCCCGTAGTTGCGTCATTGTCCGTCAACTATTTTGCGTACGCCCAATGACTCCCAAGTGTGCGGTGCTGCGTAACCAAAAAAAATCATACGCAAAGGTCATATGTGAATTGCAGTCTCGTCGCTCTAACCGTAAACGTAGGCTGTGGATGTGGCAGCAAAGTGCCGACAGCTGATTACGTGTCTTTGCTCCAGAAGTTTTACCAAGTGTATTTAGGCTAGGTTTCCTGATTTTGATCTCTGTGAGGTAAGGAATGACTCATTTAATTTTTTTTCTTTATCTTCTTGCACTCTGCTTGTATCGGCAAAATAACTTGTTAAGCTAATGCTAAGCTAGCTAACATATGCAAACCTTTGCATTTTTAGAATAATGTGCAAGCTGCTTCTGTTATTGTACCAAGAGATGTATTCTTTTGAGCAGCAACCACTGTCTGGATATTTTGAATCAATATATTTCGTTTAGTTTTGCAGCCCATCAACATCCTGATCAGTAGTTTACTGTCAAGTTCTTTTTGTCAAGTTCAAGCAGCATCACTGTTATTCAGATAAAAAAACATCCATCCATCCACCCACCCACCTATACCGCGTTTCCTTATTAGGGTCGCGTGTTAGCCGATGCCTGTCCCAGACTTTCCCAAAAAGTATTTAACCCAGTAAACCATGTGTCCTGTATTAAATGGGCATTTCTCTGTGTTTGTCACACTTGATTTTAGGTTTCGGTGCCATGTTTGCCAGACTGCACTTGTGCTCTCACTTGCCACCCAGAATTCGGCAAGTGAAAGTCAATCCTGCCTCTATCAGAACATTTTCTCAAGCCAAGTGTAAGTAACAAAGATCTCATCCTGTAGCTGAGATCAGACTTTGCTGCATTCTCATTGACCGCAACCATAGGCCCTGCACACATGCACAATATTACTGTTTTTTCACTTGCTAGCGAGTAATATACCCAAAATGTCATGTTTGTGTTCATCTAATTTCATTTTTGATACATGCTGATATTTTTTTCTGATGTGCACTAGACAGAGAGAGAGAGAGAGAGAGAGAGAGAGAGAGAGAGAGGGAGAGAGAGAGAGAGAGAGAGAGAGAGAGTGCTAGCGCGAGCACAGAGATGAAACGGAATTCACATTTGATATCATGATTATCATGACCAAAGTTATTCTCATTATCACTGTGCTGTTTTACGAGAAGAAATGTAAATTTAAAAAAATGAGAGGGACATGCTCAAATATTGCACCTTGTTTTATTTTGAATATAAACATTTTAAAATCGGAAACCCTATGTACTTTTTGACAATCAAAATTGGAAACCTGTAAGAATTCTCACACCTGTAAAACCCCATGAAATGTAGTTACAGTGATTAAAAGCATATATAGTGTTTTCAGTTATATTTCTGGCAATGAATGAACACATTGGTGCAGAAAAGCAATTAAATTGAATCATAAATGTTTATTCTCCATCATATGGATCTGATTTGAGCTGCCAGTATTCAAAAGTATTTCACTCATTAAGTGAATCTGGCTTTATTCAATCTTTTACTCACTCACAGTTTAGCAATAAACCGTTAATTCTTTCATCCCTACAATGCACTTACAGTCTCGCACCCTCGCTCCCATGGCAAGTCTTTTGCCCATCGGAGTGAGTTGAAGCAAGCCAAACGCATTGTGGTCAAACTAGGCAGTGCTGTGGTGACACGAGGAGATGAGTGTGGCCTGGCATTGGGGCGACTGGCCTCCATTGTTGAGCAGGTAATGCACCATTTAACTTGTTGATCCCTATCCTTGTGTTCCTAAGGAGTCAATTTCATTCAAGATTCATTATAATTCTTGTATCCTGTCAGGTGGCCATGCTGCAGAATCAAGGGAGGGAGATGATGATTGTCACCAGTGGTGCTGTGGCATTTGGGAAGCAGAGATTAAGACATGAAATCCTGCTCTCTCAAAGCGTCAGACAAGCTTTACATTCAGGCCAGAACCAGCTGAAGGAAATGGTGATCGACAACTTTATTAGATATGCGTCTGCTGAATAGAAGATGAATACATGTTTACATGAGTGACTAATTTTTATTTTTTTTTTTGCAGGCAATTCCAGTTTTGGAGGCAAGAGCTTGTGCAGCTGCTGGACAGAGCGGTCTGATGGCGTTGTATGAAGCCATGTTTACTCAGTATAGCATCTGCACTGCACAAGTATGCACCTTAGATTTTTTTGAAGTTATTACTGAAAGCAGTTTGAAAGTGACTGTCACTAAAGGCTTTGTAACGTGTGTTCACTTCTGCAGATTTTAGTTACAAACTTGGATTTTCATGACGAACAGAAGCGGCGCAACCTTAACAGCACTCTTCTTGAACTTCTGCGGATGAACATTGTCCCCATCATTAACACCAATGATGCTGTCGTGCCCCCTCCGGTTCCCAGCAGTGACCTACAGGGAGTAAATGTAGGTACTGTGTGAAGGACGTGCTGGGAATGCTCAGTGTGGTTCAGGTTGCGTGTGGGGATGTCCTAAACTCAAGACATGCATCAAATGAAATTTTACCTTACACTATGTTTCTACCCATTGCAACATTCACTTCCAAGGCGTATGCATTTTCATTTTTTCCCTCAGGGATTGTAATTGTGTCTTTTTCCTCTTCAAACTACATGGTAAACATTCCCGCTTATGTTAGCTCAAAAGGGGTGAACTTCTAACTACTTAATGATACTTGCTGGCTTTTTGCTGTATAGTACCATCTAATTATTTTTTTTCAAACTACATTTGCAACTCATAGTCTGATTTTTTTTTTTTTTTTCTGATGGCCTGACCAAACTGATTTTCTACGTTTCAGGTGATTAGCATCAAAGATAATGACAGCTTAGCTGCCCGTCTGGCTGTTGAAATGAAAGTGGACCTCCTGATTGCCCTCTCGGATGTTCAAGGTGCAGAATTGCCAGATTATCGTTATGAATTTACAGTTCAATACTTCATAAGAAATGTCTCAAAACTTTGACAATCATGTTATTATTTGGTAAAATTATGAGGGATGTACCGATCACGCTTTTTTAATTACCGTTACCATTGTCCAAATTCGAGTCTTCCGTTTTAAGTTTGCTGATACCAAGTCTCGGTCCGATACTTGCACTGCATTAAGAAAAAAAGAACATACATCAGATTTTTCTCCAATTAATACAGAAATATACAGACGGATATGTATATACAAGAATTTGTATGTTATACGTTGTTATATATACATTTATATTACAGTATATGGACCATTCCGCCAAATCAGTGCCAATAGCCTTTTGGAACACTCTCAAAATAAACTCAATGTTCCAAATGGTTTCCTTTTTAAGTGCTAAATTTCATGATTCACGTATTGAACAACTCAAAATGTGTACTGTATTGGTCCATCTCAGACTTGTTTTTTATCATGTCATTGTTTTTGTACTGAAACTCCCAGGGTTTTTAGCATGAAAATGATCAATTATCTTTTACGCTAATCAAATATTAGCTTTAAACCCAATACATATCAATGTGGAGGACGCTTTATAAAAATGTATTTTCATATAATGGCCTGGTATTGCAAATGGCACCAATATGGTGGAATTGCCCATACAGTACAAGCTTTAACATAGAATGAGGACATGCTCTCTTAGTGTACGTTTGATTTATGCAATGCTAAACAATACATTTACACCATTATTTAGAGGCTTGTGCAGGCTAAAATAAAGAGTCCACGCAGCCATGTAGTTTTTTGGTACTTGCGTGACTTCTCTCATCTCGAAATGACACTATTGATTTATGACCTCATTAAATGTAACCATGGGGGATCGAGCTTTCTCGTCAGTAAATAATATATCCTCATTAAACTTCTATTTGAGGTGAACTCGTTTGGATGTGTCACACCCGTCCCAAACCTGTCTGTCGCTCTCTCAACTCTTTGATGATGCCGTTTAGCGAGGAGGCTTCTTTATAGCAGGCTAGGCAGACGTGTTTTAGAGTATCTTGCGGCTTGCCTGTCGTTCCAAACAATCGATGACGTCAAACCCGCCGCTCTGCTCCTACAAGGGAGCAGAGTGCAGTGGAGTAGGTGTCAGTGAGTGAGTACCTCTACTAAAATGAATAAATAACAGAAACATAACATTGTATTGTATACAACGACACTATTATGTTGCATTTGCTAAGATATTTGCACATTTGGATTATTTTGTAGCTTTCTGATTTTTAAAAATGATATATCTTTTTTTCACCCGATACTGGATCATTTGAAAATAGCGTGATTGGCCGAATTTCAGATGACGTGATCGGATCGGGACATCCCTAAAAAATTACGTATACACGTCATGGGTTTCATCTGGGTGCTAAGGCCTATTCCTACATTCCAAAGACAGGTATGGTAGCTTTATTGAAGAAACTAAATTGATGTGAATGTAAGT